GTAGGTCAGATCACAAAAAACACGATTAAATCATTCAAGGGGCAACCTCTGAAAAGCAAATAATGATCTGTATCCATTGGCGTAACTGTATATAACCGATGTTTTCATGTATAGCTTGTCTTAATAGTCGACTGGAGTTCTTGTGTAATACAAGCTGGTCTATATATGGATTGTGATAAGGCTGAATGTCCGAAATTGGATAGGATTATCCCTTGACATGACCGCATTACCAAATAAGGGTAATAAGAAGAATAGATATTAAACTGATAGCATATCGCTGAAAGAAGGAATAGTAAATCAAATGAAAACAACTCCAGTTCCCTGCCTTAGCTTTGAGGCATCTGTTCAAGAATTCAAGTATATGGCTATACCGAATTTTACAGACTTGACTATCGAAAGACCTTGATAGGAGGAGAAATCCGTAGACCACTCTGAAGGACTTAGAATACTAAGAAGTCCAGGATAAAAAAAATTCGATGTCCTGATAACCAGACTACTCTTATAGTAAATAAAACTGTTCTGGAAATAATTAAGAAGGAATTGTACATCTTTTTAAATAGGTAGTAGTTGTATATAGAGGTAAAATAGATATAGCTACTCATATATATATATATTTTTTTTATAATGCTGGCGTAGTCATGCCATGTAGCTTTTATTTGATCATTAATATTCCCTTATATACACAAATTCAATTGCGAGGAAGTACGTTTATGACGGTAAAAAACTATTGGCTCAGTATTATGAAACTGTAAACCCTGGGACTAGCTTCAGTCCATCTTGGTGGATGTTAGCATGTCATGACTCCACTAACACTAATGTTTACTGCGAACAATGTATGGTAAGAAAAGTTATTTGACAAGATGTCTGTTATGCTAGAGTTGATTAGTTGGATATATAAGGAACTGAAGGCTTGGTTGGTTAGTATTTCTTCTTGGGTTTGTTGTGCCTCTTGTTTTTTATTTTTGGCATATTTCTTCCTTTTCATTCTCTTGGTAATACCCTCTTCTTTTTCCCATTTATTCACTATATTACACCGGAGATTCCATACTTTTTGTTTTTCTTGCCAGAATCTTCCTATTGCTATTTTGATTGCTTGTTTTGCTGTGGTGATGTTTTGAGTGATTTCTGTGGCCTTCTCTACCATCTTGTGGGTGATCACCCCCCTGATGATGTCCGGCCATTGAATTTAGTAAGGAACTGCTGTTCTTTTCCCTTTGGTCTTTCCTATCTGAGTATGGTTCCACTTGTTGCCAATTGGTTCTGTTTGTTTATTGTTTTCAGTACATGCTGCGTATTCTTCTATCAGGAAGAATGTGTATTTTTCCTTTAGTCTCTCATTGTTTGGGCCACACAGGAAGGGGTGTAGATCATCTTCTACCTGACGGTTGCATATTATACATGTTGCGCTCGTATAGACTTCCGGTAGTCTGGTATTAAGTTTGGACATGATCGGGTGTTCATTTACCCATGTTTTGAATTGGAATATTCTACTTCTATAGTCTTGATTGTCCGTGTAAAGGGAGGTTATTTTTGAAGGTGAGAGCATTTCCAGGATCAGTTTCCAATCTATTTCCTTGGATTTTTCTTTAGTGAGCCACCCATTTGTTCTTTTGGGGGCTCTACATTTGCTTGCCCATTTGGTTTTGATGATTGATTTCCTGAGTGTTTTGAAGGGGAGATCTATGAACCTCTGATCCCACCTTACTGTAACATTGCTGTTGGTTGATTGTTGCTCTTGTACCATTATTATATCTCTGTATGGATCTGCGAGTGTTGTGGCAGCTAGTTTGTCTGTCTTCTCATTGCCCTCGATGCCTGAGTGGCTTTTGACCTTGATCCATTGTATACGAATTCTTTTTATATGCAGTAGTTCTGTTATTGTGTCTATGAGCTTTCGATTGGGCTGGTCTTTCTTTCTTTTGGTGTTGTGTGTTATGGACGGTAAGTTATTCCTAATCACATTTATGGCGCATTGACTGTCTGTGTAAAGATTGATTTACCTTTCTGGGCTTATTGTGCAGATGGCTGTTACGATGGCCATGAGTTCTGTCCTTGTGGAGGAGTGCGTGTTCTGTATTTCCACCTGAAATTCTGCTAGTTCTGTTCCTTCCTCTGTTTGAATGATCTATCCGAGTCCCATCCTGCTTTCTGTAGGTCATCTGGATAGGGAGCCATCTGTGTAAATGTGTAGGTTGTTATATTGCTGAATCTTTTTAGTTATGTCCACCAATTCTTCTATTTTCCAGTGGCTAGTCTTGATTCTTTCCCTGATAAGGTTGATTGTGGTTGATGTGGGGTCTAATTGAATAGTTGGAGGGGCCATTGGGGGAGATGGTGACTTTCCTGTTTCAGTTAGTGCCAGCTCTATTCCTTGAGAAGTTGAGCGTAGCCTATGTAGGTTTAGGCTTCTTGGTTGGGGGTTTTCTGTCCTGAAAGGTATGTCATCTTCCACCTTTGATGATACTATGCTTTTCTGAACTGATATGTTGATTGATCGATTCAGGAGAAGCTGTGATATGCATTGTTGTTGATCTTTATATTTTGCCCTCAGAGTGGGGTTGTTCAAGGGGCATCCTTTGCATTTATGTACTGGTGATAATTGCTCCTTCTTGATAATGTGATTACCAATAATTGTGTTGTTGTCTATTTGCCTCTTCTTTTTGAATAGTGTGACAGTTGTGTTCCTTTTGGTCACTATCCATTTGATCTTCTTTCTATTTTGCTGTGGGAGAATTGGCATGTTGGTTCTGAAGGGGTTCTTTTTGTTGATGTTGATGGGGATTCTGATATTGTCATATTTATCCGTTGATGGATTCTTGCAGATCAATCCTCTGAGGTCATTGTCCCATTTTTGGTGTTTTACCTTGTCTTCCTAGTTTGCTTCTAACCTGTTGCCAAGTTAGGACCATTGTGAGGTTGTCATTTAACAGCTGTTTGACGAAGAGAATCTTCCTTCTCCTTAGTGCCTGTCTGTATTGGTGATACCACTCTTCGTTCATTATGTCTTTTATTGGAATTTCCTCTTGGTCTACCGGTCGGCCGATTATTACATGGTTAGACGGGGAAAGAGTGATCCCTTGCATTTTGATCATGTTCAGGATATCATTGGTAAGATTGTTTCATTTATTTATCCAGAATGGAAGTTTATCTTCCAGGATTGATGTAGCTGACCAGTATTTGTTTTGCAGTTGTTAAAGCCTGATAAGGGTTGTTGTACTGCAAGTGTCGAAGTTGTTAAGTCTGTTTACCAGGTTTTTTCCTTGGGCCAGTATTTGTCTGTCCCAAAGATTGAATAGTTTGTATCCAAAATCGGTATGTAGAATACTGTTAGGGGCTGTTGTGGATAAACCTACCTTGTGTTTGAAGGTCTTGTTAATCTTTCCACTGATTTTGTCACATTCCTTTTCGGAGAGAGTCATGTCATTTAGGAAATATTCTATGGCTGGGTACAGGACGTGGTTGATGATGTACCGTGTTTGCTTGTCTGTGATCCTCTTCTAGGCTATAATATTGGTATATGTGTTGACTATATTTTGTATATGGTTCTTCTGGAATCTTTTTTTTCCATCTTTTATTATCCATATACCCAGGATCCGTGTTGATTCATCCCCTTTGAGTGGCCAAATTTGTGCACCCATCAGTTGTACTCCTTTTGCTCTGTCTATACTGGGAGCATTGATATATATGAGGGATGATTTTTCTGGATTGGCCTGTATGTCGTTGATTCTAAGAAATTCTGTTGCTGTGTTTAATATCGCTTGCATATCGCTCCTGTTGCTGGCGTACCAGGTTGTGTCATCCATATAGGTGGTAGTTGTTATGTTACAGAGACGTCGGTGCTTTCCATTTCCATACTCCGTATTGTTTGATATATTTGTTTCCTATTCAACTTCCAGTTTGTATCCTCTGTTTTGCTCTTCTATTTCTTTGAGTAGTGGATCATAAAAGATTCGCCATAGGAGAGGGGATATTGTGTCTCCCTGATCTATATCGTCTTCTACTGTGTACTCGTCTGTTAAGCCATGGACTGTTATAATCCTGTTTTTCCTATCCGTGAGTACGTTTGTGAGAATGTTGATTATGCGCTGTAGAAGTTTGATCCTGTGAAGGGCAGCTACCAGCTTCTCCTTGTTGATGGAGTCGTATGCTTTGCTAATGTCCTGACTGAATATCCAGACTTCTTTTTTATATTCTCTAGCTTCTTCTAGAATATTGTTGAGGATGTGGATGGATTGCTGCGTACTTCCTCCCGGTAGCCCTGCCCAGTTGTTGTTGGAGAGGATTTTGTTGGTAGTGCAGCTTCTTGATATTTTGTTTGTCAATATGCTCATGAAGACTTTGCATATTGTCTCCAAGAGTGTGATAGGTCTGGTTATGTTGATGTCTCCCATCCAATCTTTCGACTTGGGAATTGAAAAAATGTTGCCATTTTTCCATTCTGTGATGACTTCTTCTATTTCCAATATTTTGTCGAACAGGTGTTTTAAGGCTGTAATGCCCGTCGTACCAATATGGTGAAGTAACCTGTATGAGATTTCCGAGGGGCCGGGGTACTTGCTTTGTTTTTTGATCTGATTGCTTCCTGGATTTCTTGGATGTTGAATGGTTCTATACAGTTACTGTACTATTCTTCCTTAATGTTTCCTTTTGCTTTATATTGTTCAAGCCAAATTGGGAAATCATTTATGTTGAGAGGATTTCTTGCCGCTGTTCATTTTTCAAAATGGGTCTTGACTTTGTCCTTGATTTCTTCGGGGTCGGTAATTATATTAATTACATCCTTGTCTGTTTTTTCCACCAGTCTGCTTGTATCAATCTTCTTGGGTTGTCGATTTAGGATGCTATTGATCATTTTCTTTGGGTGCTCCTGAAGAAGCTGATAACATTTTTGGATTCCCTTCTGGATGTTTTCCCTTTTGACTTTTTTAATTATGGCTGTACTCAACCTTCTTTCCTCAAGCCATAACTCTTTAATTTGTGCCAGGTGTTCTAGCTTAGTTCTATTGTTTGTTGGGGTGTTTGCTGTTTCGAATACGGGAACTTTGATTCTTTCTGTGACTCTGTTGATTTCATTTGTTAATTTTGTAATTTCTTCTTGGAGCCCATTGTCGTGGGGGGGCTTGTTCTCCATCCACTTCCTATATTTCCTGTATAGCTTTCCTATAGTTATTTGCTGTCTCATGTACATTTGGTATTTGTTTCTGTTAACAGGAGGAGTGTTGTGATTGCGTCTTTTCATTTTGAGTGTAGATTTTGCTGTTTGTATAAGTATCTTTTGGAGTTGTGCCCATATTTGGTTAGGGGAGTTGAGTTTTGTTATCTGGAGGGACTTTACCTTCTTTTCTACCTTTTTACGGAAGAGTGTCCATTGCTTGTTTGATGAATTATGGTAGTCTATTTGCGTTTTCAGATTATTTTTCCTGTTTACTACCTTGTACCATGTTGTGTGTGGACTGTGCATGTGGAGAGTAACCATATTATGATCGCTTTCTATTGTTGTGTCCATCGGTGTGTGTTCTATAGCTATAATATGTGAGGTTAATGATTGGGAGACCCAGATGTAGTTGATTCTACTACTATATTCTGAAGTGGGTCTATTATATGTGAAGCTTTTTGATTGGGGGTGAGTAGCTCTGAATGTATCGATAAAGTCGAGGGCGAAAAAATGTGTCGATTATGTCTCTGGGTCTGTTGATTTTGACTTTCTTGGACAGTCTGTCCATTTCCATATCAGCTATTTCATTTAGGTTCCCCATGACTATGATAAACATATTTCTGTTGTTCACTTTCAGAATTTTCTGTTTCATCCAGGTGTGTAATTTTGTCTTGAAGTTTTTGTCTGTACTGTTTGATGGGGTATATATGGTAATAATTCGATATTTGATTTTTCCCCTAAAGGAAAGGTCAAGGTGGATTCCTCTGTTGCAGCATTCGGATGTGTCGTATACGTGTGCTGCCCATTTCTTCTTTAGTATTATACTTATGCCTGTGCCATGGTATTGTTCTTTTGGTGTTAAAGACCAGATTTGATATTCATCTTCTAGATCTCGCTATTTGTAGTTGGGGGGAGCCAAGTCTCTGTTAACCCTAGGATGCCAATGTTTTGCTCTTGGCAATATTCGATGATTGATATTTGATCTGTTTCATTATTTATTCCTCTTACATTTAATATTCCAATTCTCCATTCGTTATATCTGTTATTGTTTTCCTGATTGCCAAAGATCTGCACTTGGCGGTTGTTGTCTTCTTGAGGTGTTTCAATCATAATTATTATGGAGGTAGGAGGGGAGTGGTGTTGTTGAGTTGTTTGGACTAATTGGTAAGCTTAAACATTCCATGACTTTTTTCATGGTGGATTTCAACGTAGAATCCATTTGGCTGAGCTGTTTATTTATTCAGTCTTGTGTTTGTCTGATGTCCACTCGTTTGGGAGAGGGGGTTCTGAAGGAGGAATCTTCGTTCATTTCCTCATCTTCATCAATCATAATTGCTGGTTCCTTTGATTTGTAGCCCGGATCTGTTTCGATTGCCATGATTCTTTTTTCTAGGTTGTTGAGATGCTGTTTCATGTGTAGCATGTCCTTTTGCATCTGTTTGAGTGTGTTGAGAATTGAGTCCAGTTTGTCGGAACCTCTGACCATTCCTTTTGCTATGCTAGCATAGGTCCTGCTGGGTCCGGGGATATTGCTATTGGGTCTTGGATTGAAGATTCTATATATCACGAGTTCTTTTCGCTCCCTTGGTGACAGCCTGGGGAGGCCGAGTCTGTTGGTGTTGGATCTTGTTGGGATATCCACTTCTTTCTGTGGACAGTCCTGGGTGTCATGATAGTATGCCCCGCAGAAGAAGCAGAGTCTCATTGACTTCCCAATCCAGTTGAGTTCACTATCTCTGAGGTGAAGTTTTGTTCTTTGTGCCTGGAGAAGATCTTGTTGGTTCTTGTAGTAAATTATTGCGAAGCACTTATATTGATTCTTGTGATTGAGGGGAAAGTAGCACACTTGTCCATTGGTTTGTTGAAGGATTTCCTGGATGTCACCTGGTGTAGTCCCTTGAGGAAGATTGGCCAGGGTGGTGCTGAAGCGGTTTCTTTCCTCTTTGGTTTCCTTTGTGCGATTGAGAGGAAATATGCACATGCTATGGTTACTGTCATACAGTGCCCATCTTTGGTTGAATTTGTCATAGTCTCCCTTATTTTGGAATTGGACTATGGCAGACTGTACCGGTCCTACCTGTTGCATTGCTATATGGTCAAGTACCACAGTGTCTGGGAAGAGTTTGACTATGTCTGCTTTTGTGTATTGATTAGGGATATCCCAGATTCTGATTGATCTGAGTTGGCCTTCTGTGGTGCCAATCCGTGCTGCTATTCTAGGTTTGGTAATTTCATTTTCTGATACTTCTGCCTTGCATGCCTCTTGTGCTTCGTTGAGGTTACCGAAAATGACTGTGATCTGTGGCATTCCAATTGGTTCTTCAATCCTTGTATGTTTTAAGGTATTGAATAATGCCCACTTGGTTTTGACGAAGAGGATTTTCTCTTCTAGATTTTCCTCTGGGACTTGATTTGGGTCGATTAAGACTTTTCCTGGTCTTAGGGTTGGTGATAAGTTTCCCCTAGGGGATGACAGGTTCTCTACTATCTCATTGGTATGGCTGAATTGGTTGTTGACAATGTTCCTGTCAGCGTTGTCTTTTGTGGAGGCGATGGTAATTGGCGAAGCTGGTCTAGTTTCTATTTCCATTGTGTTATATTCTGGTTCTTCGTTACTCTTATCCTTCGGTTGCCTCGGTTCCTCCGGTTCGACTTCCATTTCCTTCTCCGGTAGCAGTATTTGGGTGATGACTTGGTCTAGGTCCTATGCTTTGCTAGTTTTGGTCTTCCTTTTCTCCTTGCTTGCAACCTGGGTTTTGCTGGGGATTAGTAGGTTGTGTCGTGCGTTAAGTTTATTTTTGATGTTCGTCTTTGTAATTTTTCCACTAAGTTTGGAGTTGAGAGTGTCATTGTAGTTCAGTGTTGTGTCTCTGGCCCTGAGGGCCCTTACTGCCATGGTTGTTGTAGGGGGTCACTGTGAGCGAGGAGTCATTCTTGAAATTTTTTCAGTTGTTACCATAAAAGGAAATTTTCAGAATTTTTTGCGTTTGTGGGAAAGAGTTTTTTTTTTTCTTTTTGGTCTCTATAGTTCTTATTATCAGTTTGAAATGATATTATCTTAGATGATATTAATGTTTACATGTTTATGTTCCAGTTTACCCCCTTAGTCTTATGGTTTAAGAGCCATTTCTACTGTATCTCAAAGTTCTCTACTTACTTGTTCATTTGATTTTGAGGAGGATTTTTTCTACTATCTTAAAGAAAAGATCAATAAATGATCAGTCTATTCAAGTGCTATTATATCATTAGTAGTATTCAGTTCCTGAATCTTGATTATGCCTTTATGCTTGTTTATTATTATGGTTGCTATTAATTTATTTGCTATTTTATTTTTAGGATTGCCTGAGTGGCCTTTAATCTTTATCTATATTACTTTTTTTTTTTTTTTTTTTACCCTCTGTCAGGTTAGTTAAGTATGCTTTATTAAACATTTGTAAACTGTACATATTAAATTAAGCGCTAAAGCTAAATCTCTAACTAACTTACTCGTTTTGGTTATACTATCTCTCTAAGTGCAACTTCGGGAGTGATTTATCACTCCGTTAGAGGTTCAGGTGAAGACCCTTCCAACTTCTAAC